TAAATGATAATGTCCTGTTATTGTCAGAGCTCAGATAATGCGCTTTTATTGACTAGCAGCATAACTTATAAGTTCTTATTGAGGTAATAAGAACTTATAAGTTATGCTGCTAGCTAACTTATACAATATCACTAACTTTTTGCATCTTAGCCACATTCATTTACTATTATTGAATTGTTAAACCATGATTGCCTCATTTATTTACAGCGATTTTCACGAATGTCCTTACTTAGAGAAACAACAAACCGCAAGAAATTACAAGTTAAAAACAGTATTTTTTTTTCGGTTTTAATATTCTCCAACGATATCAAGAACAATAAATATGTATAAAATCTCAACTTCTCATATATATATTGTAAGTATAGGGTAGAAATTCTATATAAATGCTAATGAAAAGGGTTGATATCTAGGAAGAGTTAAGAAACTCATACTTTTCTTTTGATTTATATATATCTTTTTTATATCCGGATTTAAATGTAACCGGATTTTCGAAACAAGCTTCTATAATTACAAATTGTAAATTCTACATTCAATTTTATTTCTAGTGTATATAAACATAATAATCTATGTTTGTTCCTATATGAATTGTAAAGCATTTCCTACATAATTATGCGGAAAAAATATATATTTCATACGTTTTTTTTCCATTGGAAGACTTGATATAAATTGTAACATATTTACATGTTTTTACTTAGTGATTTTTTTCATCTCACTTTTACAATATTCAAAAGTATGATATGACTTCTTTTTTCAATTGTGTAACGCTTTCTTTGATCTTAGTCTGTTTTTACTTTCTTTTAATAAACAAAACAGTGTTTCTAATCCAAGTAGGTCAACACTTTCTTCTGAAAAGACAAACCTCTTCCCTTAAAAATCGCCCACTTCTACTTCCATGGTCAGAGATTTGTCTTCAAAATGTCTAAACTTGGAAGAATTGCTCGAGAATTCTATTTTCGCCCAATTATCTCCATAGACTAAGCCCTATTCTTTACGGACACTATACTGTGATGAATTTTAAGTTAGTATTATTTAAAAGAAAGGAGCCCACTTAGGGCGTTTTGCCCTTTCTCCACGAGTTCATAGGTCATTAGATTTTATATCCTATTTCGACTTTTATAAGTCGAAGGTACAGATTTACCGTTTCGTCGACGCCCCTGGGTTCTAGTGTGTGTTTATGTGAGGATCTGTGGGATGGAATCACGAAAATGGATCCTGCCCAGGGCGGTATCTTCTGGAATTGGTCCAGAAGATGGGTCAGTTGTACCCAAAATGATGACAGTGACTCATCTCACACAAAGGAAGGGCGTATGATTTTTAACGAGTGGGTTCGAGTGCGCTCTTTCAGCACGGGGATGAAAGGGCCATCAATTTAAGATAATCTATAAGTTTCTAAAAATTGGGATTTGGCACACTTTAAGTAAATTACACGAAATTGTACGTTGTTAACATATGATATATCTCTCGAATCATACGCCAAGTACTGTATTAGAGATTAAATTTAACGAAATTTACGGACAACTTTTCTACAAAGTTTATTTTATATTAATCATTAAATATTGTAAATTATTATTAATAATATTTGCTAAGCAAGAAAGAGTATTACTTAATATTCTTGTAATAAAAATCGCAAGATCTCGAAGAACTGTATAAAATATTAAATTAGTGCCACTAGGAAACGAGTGATTAATGTTCGAGTATGTTAACTTTTATCAGGATTAATTTAACCGAGATCAAATTTATAAGTAAGGAAAAGATAACTTAAATAATTCGAATGTAATCAGTTGTGTTAATCACGAAGGATCACATAGATTTATGTGTTATTTTAGAGATGGCACTACCACAAAAAAAAAATAAGAAATTTAAAGAGCGATGATCCCGTTGATAGCATTTAATGATAATACTTAAAAAATGATTGTCATTAAAATTCTTACCTTTCATATAGAAGTTTAAAAGCATTACCATTAAGAAAAAAATTATTATACAGTAGGTTAATCATGTATAAGCTTTGAAAATCCTTATATTTATAAGAAACTGTAACTAATATACGAATGTCTGCGAACTTCGCTACAAAACTTATGAAACTAATACCTGGCGTTTGTAAATGGCCCGCCCTTTCTCATCTTTCTTCTAAGATCATATTTTTAAAACGTGTTATAGACAAATCTTAGCTTCATCTTTAGTTCTGTTTCTATAATATTTGGTTTTAATTATAATACTCTCTCAATACCTTTAGAAAAACTTTATAAAAGCTTAGTCGTGTTGTCAGGGAAATTAAGAAATAACAGTAATGGACTTCATGTTATAGAATAAAAATAATAATTACGTTTTAAAATAATAGAAAATATTCATGACAATAAACGAAACAAGTACTACGTTTCATCAGACTACTTATTATGTCCCATTTTGTCTTAATAACGAAACGAGATGATAAAAAGTCCTTATGACGAAACGCAATTCAGCATAATAAATATCCGTGCCATAAAGAAAACAAACAAAAGAAATTTTTCTTGCAGATAGCATCTTTCAATTTAGTTTAGTTTAACACGGGCCCTATTTTTCTTCAAGGTTAAAGAATATTGAAAACGATTCCGAATACACCAAGATAAAATTATACGACTAATTAACATGTCATTTATAACTTTCATTAATTACTTTCGCCGATACGAAAATGAAAAATAACTGAAACTCGACCGAGCTCCACCTGATGTGTGTGAACAATGAATTTTACATCTTAAGATGGAATTACCCTTAAGGTGTGGGGTTCAGGATAAATACCCTCCCGTCATACACAGCTGGATTCATTTATCAGGAACAATCCTTCGGTTCCAACATCACAAGACAGTAACAATAAGTTTCGCTCTCCTGCTGGGAAAACCCAACTTAATGAATCTTGATGATATTTGTCCTCAGGCCACACCTGTTCATTTTGCCGCCGTTTAATTCGAGAATTTGTTACAAATTTTTGCACAAATGTCCTTCTAGAAATTCACGTTTTTAGTTATCAATCAAACGATGGAAATACCTGTCAACACCAATTCAATTTCTGAGTTTAGACTTCAGAACACAATAAGACACACGAACAATACTCGGGGCATTTTCCTTAAACTTAAGCAACAGCAATGAGTTAAGTTATTCATGATTTATTCTCATACTGACTTGCTTTATAAACTGTATTTAAAATCAAATTTTTTCCCCTTTTCTAATTTTTTGTATATCGTCGGATCTGTTCAAAATATTTCTTATTTTCCACGGACTATCCACAAGATTTACTTTTTATTATTTGCTTATCAAATCTTATTTTTTCTACCTTAATTATGTACAAATCGATTTTCTCTGATATGAACTTATTACAATTGAACTTTTCTATCATACATTTCTACGTAACGATCCTCAAAATTAATTTTTATACGTGTAGACTTAATCCAAAATTCAGATTTTTTTGGAATTTCCATCGTGCATTATCATATAAAAATTGTTTTACAGTTCTGTACAGCTTTAGATATCACATCAATATTATTTTTTATCATTAAAACTCTTAAAAAAACATATCAAAATATTGATTTTTGTTCTTACAATGATCTGCAAATTTGTCCGAAATTGATTTTACCGCTTTAATATTATTTATTCTCGCATAAAATTAATATTTTGACATTCTAGTCTATCAGAAATTGCCATAAGTATAATATAAAGATTCCAACTGAAAGATATTATCTTGCGTAATTCTTTGTAATCACGTCCAAATATTATATCGTTAATAACGTATTTCTATAATTGACGTTTTAATTATCCAACATCCTTACCGCCGTTAAATTCTCATCCTTAAATTCAAGATCCTTACGCGTTAAATTCTTATAATTTCTACAATAATATACCCAATTGGTGACATCGAGCGAAGAGTAAACAATATCAGCAAATGCAACTTGTTTCTTCCTCACTTTATATGATATAGATATAGACGTACAGTACATCAGATAAGAGCGAGTGTGAAAGTATATTCACTGGGGTCAAAGTTGAAAGGGTTGACGGAATCGTGTGGGTTGTGATGTTGCATGAGAAAGTTGACATATCCCAACCCAAAGAGTAAAGTCGCGATCGGAATAATGATGCGTTTTAAACTACACTTTTTCACTTATAAATCTGTTTCTCCAAAGTTTGCATTGTTCGGAACTCTTTCCCGCCCCAAAATTTGCACGAAAATCCAGCGTTAAACGAATTTTTCTTTCTGTATCCATTCGAATGCGTTAATTAAAATGTCCAAATTCGTTCCTCCTCCGCTCGCGTGTTGTTTTTCTCAAAAACTAAAACAACAAATGAGATTCGTAACAAAGACGAAAAAAAAAGAACTTTTTCTTCGAGTGGGCGAAATGTTTCAGGGAAAAAAGTTTGTTCAACCCATGTTGAAACGCAACCCTATAATTAAAATATGACGTTGCAATATATATTTATTTATTTTCTTGCAGAGTTTTACAATTAAATTTCGACTGTTGGCATTAAGCGAGAGAATTTCTATGCCTAATATTTAAACCAATTTCAAAAAAGAGAAAATTATTTATAAATTTTTCAAATAAAAAAAAATTCTAATTTAAAATAATAACTTGAACCTGCCACTAGAAGAGCTCATTAGTTAGATTTTAACGTATTTTTCGAGTTATAAATTAAATTTATAGTCCAAAATTCGCAAAAAAAAATATATATATATTTTTTTTTAATTGATATTTGAAAGCAAGAAATTAATGCGTCTTGTTTATTAAAAATGCAACTTTTAAATAATAAAAATTAGTTATTTATTAATAAATATTTGGTACTAATTTAAGTCTTACTCACTTTAAAATTATCAATTATTGGTCATGTCTAAATTATTTTAAAAATATATAAATCTATTTAAATACGGTTTAATATATTGTTTAAATCTATGTAGAAGCACTTATAGTATTATTTAAGTTAAAGAAAAACTAAAAGTGCGAACACTAAATGCTTATAACTGGTTGATTCTCTGACAGAAGCATCGCAGGATAATTAGCCCGAGGCTTGATGGCCAGGTGAGTGGGTAGGCCAGGCTGAAAGTATCCTCCCATCTGTTTGAGTTTGTATATAAGAAGAGACAATGATCATGAACACAGATTAAATGTTGACTTATACCGAATTGGTTAATATTTAGCAATCTAAAAAGCACGCTCCAAGAAAGAAGATACATCATGGCTGATGTTTATGATGTAAGTTTATAGTATTTATAATAAATTACTTACCGAATAACCTCTATAACTATAAAATTTTCATTATTCACTAACTTAGTTATTGTATAGAATAGAACTATGTAGTTTTTCACTTAACTAATAACTGTAATGAACTAAAAATAATTCATTGATCATTAATTCAACTCAATAATTTAATTTTTTTTTCAAAATATAAATTGTTTGCAATGTAGAAATAGTTTACTTCAATAAGAGAGATATTTTTAAAATTAAAAATATAGCTTGAGAGAAAGAATTACGCTTGACTGCATGATGGACGAGCGTAGAAATGTTGAGTGAAAGTGTTTATAATGTGCTGATAGTTCTTCATGTGAATAGTGAATGATTAATGCCGGATCAAATAACTGATGAGAGACTTTTTTTATCATTTGGTTAGGTGTGGCAAGATATCGAACATGTATTGCTTCGAGAAATGAATGCTAGTTGCGAATCGAAACCTTCAGCAGATCTGCCATCCATCGAAGAGCTTATATATCCTAAAAGCTCCAACCAGATATCATATATACATTCTCAACCGGTATATCAACCACAGATAACAGAAGATTTCTATCCTTTTATTAATATGGAAACAGAACAAAAATGTATGGAATGGCTTCAGAATACGCAATGTGTTGAAAACACATTTGTTGATTGGAATACTACTCAACAAATGATGGATTTAACAAATATTGAAAATTCATATTGCCAAACTCAAATTTATCCGCAATTTAATCGGATTATGCCAACTATGCAAACAGGTTTGAGCCTTAATGCACCCCAAGCTCAAATCTGTTATCCTCAAGCTCTAGGAATACCATTAAAGGGTAGAAGAGGTAGAAGACCACGAGGACCTAGAAAAGTAACTATACACACGTGCACTCATCCTGGCTGCTCGAAAACTTATACTAAGAGCTCTCATCTAAAGGCACACTTGAGGACCCACACGGGTGAGAAGCCTTATCAATGTACGTGGAAAGGTTGTGGATGGAAATTTGCAAGATCGGATGAGTTAACTCGACATTTCAGAAAACACACGGGTGATAGACCGTTTCAATGTCGTATGTGTGAGAGAGCCTTCTCTAGATCGGATCATCTATCTTTGCACATGAAAAGACACATTGATCTTATGTAAAATATCTCGAAAAATATTTTAAATTGTTTTTATGTTGATCACTAGGAGCCATTTTAAATGTGAAAATATTGGCATTGGACGTGCGTTCCTAATTACTTAATTAGATTTCATATTATTGCAGTTAGATACCATACAAGATCGTGTGTGCATTTTAAATTTCTATGCAAAATGAACGGACAATATTACAGCATTTATAGCTATTATTTATATATCTTAATTATGTTTAATTCAAAAATATTCTAATTTAATACTTTAAGCAAAAAAAAATGTTAAACGTTTTCAGTCAAAAACAAAACATATTTTAAGAAACGTGAACAATTTTAAAAGCAGGTGTTTTTCAAAATTTTAAAAATTTAAATTCTGACCAATTAACTTAAACGTATTAATATCACGTGACGCATCGATTTTAAAGTATTGGTTAAATTTGAATTGACGTCATAATAACAAAAAAGAACGTGATGGAATGTCTTATTCGTATCGACCAATAAGAGATTGAGGTTAAGGTTATTTGTGGACCGTTTTTAAAAGTTGAAAAATCATTAATTATTTTTCGAGGGCCGTTCGCAGTCCTTTCAAGGGATGATCTAGATTAGTTTTTTTTTGTGTGAAAAATTATTAATGACGCTAAGAGTATTGAAATAAAAGTCTTGTAAAGTTAAGCAACAAAAAAGATAATTTAAATATAAACCGTCTGTTTATTGGTGAACTAAGTTATACGTCATCAGTTTAAAATGTTTAAAAAGTAAGACGAAAACTTATAATAAATTTGCTGTAAATTTTATTTTTTTGTATTAAGAAGCACGCAAATTTTTATTAAAATAATTTATGCTATTTTTTTTATTGCCAATTTAATTATATAATGTTTTTGAATAGGATTTAATGTTTGTAAATGTATTTTAAATTAGTTTTTTCAATGTATATAAAGCAACCAAGGGAATTTTTAAGGCCAGTTTTTATGTGTAAAATATATATAAATTGTATTTTTTAATAAAATTTTTTTATAGAAAATTTGCTTTAATTTTTGTATTAAATATTTTAAAGTATGGATTATTTTTAGTAAATTTAAAATATAAGAGAATAATTCAAATTTATAATTAAAACAATTCAGAATATGAATTTATAATTTCCTTTTATATAAAAATATATTTCAATATATAATCCTTTTTTTTACATTAAAAACTTAAAAGTTTTAATGTAAAAATGAAAGGAAAAGATGCCTTGTTCTTGCATTTATTTTAAATTACGTACTGTTTTATATTTAACATCAAAACTTAAGAATTTTATTACGAAAACGCCTCTCACACTGTGAAAAAGTTTCATAATTAGAATCCTTAATGACTATTTTTACATATAATAAATTAAAACTTTTTGTTGCTTAATATATATTAAATTTTATTTCTTTCTCTTTGTAAGCAAAAGTTATAATTCAGTTTCTGCTTAAAAATTGGCAATTGTTCAATATAAATGAAGGTTGTAATTAAATTATATCCTTACAAAAAAAAATTTTAACAGAATATTATATGAATTATTAAATACGTATCATATATTCGAGTGTAAAAATATCATTTTTATGTATTTGTAATAGGCGAATTTCTTTTTATTTTTGTCAAGGAAAAATATAGAGAGGCATTTATATCGCTTATTGAAATGATTAGGCTAAATTTGAATATTATAATTTGGTATTCGTAGAAACTTTTTCACATAAAATATTCTTATATTTTAATAAGCAATTATACAATATTTATTAAGAAATAAACAGAAAATTCATGCAATTCGTCATACCCAACAATATATAATTTTTACATTAAAAACATTTTAAAATTTTCTCTAAAATTATGATATATTTTGTGTTAGATCGGGAGTTTTTTCAGTTGCAATTACGATTTTATTAAATATTAACGAATATTTTCATAAATTATCCACGAAAAGAACATTACGTTATTATTTTATTGATCTGAAATTTCGCATTGAAAAAATCTTTAAATTCTTGGATGAGGATGAGAGGGAAAATATTTAAGAACCGCCAACGAAAAACTAGACTGTCTTAAGATAGGACCGCAGTTTTACTCCAGCTGAATAATTTTACACCAGTTAAGTTTGCTTTTAGTATTCTGGCAACGTAAGCCATCTTGTTAAATGTCCCCATTCACTAACAACTCTTTCATTAGAACCTGTTCGTTGATAATATCAGAGATAGTCAATGAGGCACAGGAGTAATTGTGGTGACGGCGAGGACAGCAAAAAGGCTGAAAAAAAAATGTTTTATGTACGAGACTCTAGTTGTTTGCAAACCAAATGATTATGGTGTATAAACAATATTTGCAACGTTAAATGAAAATTAATGGTTAAGTCGAGTTTTAGACTTGCCATGGCTACTAAATTTATGCAGCATTATCCTGTTTATTGGCATTTTTATAAGTAAATTTCTTTAATGTAAATTATTTTTAAAAAAAACTTAATTAATTTAAAGTCTTAGCAAAACATTAAATTAATTAATTCGTAATATAAAAATCTATTTTTAAAATTAAGAATAACTTGAAAGATGGTACTGAAAATTTGTCCATAGAAACGGTAAGCTAATTGCAGTGGCCTAAATCTTGTTATGTTGTCAACAGTGATCAAAATTTAAAAAAAAAAGAGGGTTAAGAATGTTGATTTCGACAATTTTTCGTGATGCCACCCGCTGCTCTGTTTTTGGCATTTACAAAATAGTAGGGATTCCCACTGAGTAAAACACTTAATAGAAATAAAGTTAGGAGTTTCTATTTAGTGATTATTCAAAAACAAAAATAAATTTTTAAAAATTGGCATCGATTTAGAAACAGGTGTAAATTGTAGAAGGAATTTCCTCATTAAATTATTACAGCGATCATCACTAGGCCTCATAATTACACAGTAATTATCTCAAGGCCCTATCGTAAAGTGTGTGATATGATACGTATATCAACTGTTAAAAAAAAAAAAAATTATATAGGCCTATATGTATGCACAGACTGAATGACCAAAAAAAAAAAAATTAATAATATTTAAGATGTCCTTGAATTCTGTTATATTAATATTCTCCATGAAACAAAGCATGATTTAATTAAGAAAAAGAGGAGTAAAAAATTTATTTTGATTAATTTAATTTAATGTAATAGTAGGAAAGTGAGATAAAATTTATTAAGACTTTTCAATCTATATTTAGCACTTTTAAAAATTATATTTTAGTTGAAAAGTAGAACACAATTAAAAGCAAATCCTATAATTCCAAAAGAAAATCAGGAAGTATTATCCACCCAGGAAGCAAAATTTGTTATTTACATAAGACACAATTGGGTGTCTCGCCTTCAGTGTGAAATTCGACTGTTTTCCTATCAACGATTCTCTAAACTTTAACCAAATCACCATTTTTCATCTCTTTTCATATGTTATCTGACTCTACAGGATATTATAAATGACAGAAATCACAGCATAGGGTCGATATTTACAATTGTTATATTGTTCCACCTTATTGGTTATACCGACTTTGTACCATTGACGTCATTGGATGGTTATCCATTATGCCCCATGGGGTGATGATGAATATATATAACTAAAAGAAAAAAGAAAAAAAAAACTAGTTTAGAAAATGAATGTTTGAAGATTCGATTCTAGTTTTATCTTTTGTAATAAATGGATATAAGAGATATAAATAACCTTTTTACATAATTTAAAAAAATTATATTAATCGATTTTATCGATGTAAAGAGGATTATAACAATTCTTCAAAAACTAGAGAGTGGGATGTTTTTAATGTTTTTGTTATAAAACTTTTGCATGTTGGTTGAGGTATAAGAATATGCATATTAAAATCTTGAAGCAAAACTTAATTTCAACAATAATGTATGGACACTTTTGTAGATGATGGATGATTCTTATAGGGGGAGGATCACGCATGTTTCTTAATATTTTTACTCTGAAAGAAGGCCTTTCCCTAACTGAGCGTGTATTAAAATTTTAATGATGATAGATCACCATTTCAAATGGTCGGAAGTATAACCGTAACGACCTTTACTGTTCTGTTTTTTTATTAAAAAAAAAGAAGTGGAAGCGTGGGTGCCACCTTTTTAAAGCTCACCCCTTGTACAAAAAAGTATAGAAATTACTAGAGTTATAAAAAAAAAGTAAAATTATTCGGAAGGGGTGAGAATATTTGATGCTAATTCGAAACTCGTTAGGCTGAAGCTACTGGACATTTTTTTTTTTTTTTTGAAAGACTAGATACTTTCCTGTTTTACTAAAGCAGCACAAACCCTTTGAAAGTATAGGGTTTATTATTATTATTTTTTAGCGTTAGATAATAATTGTCTAGGCGGGAAATAGCACAATTACTAAATTTCCACCCAACTCATTAAAACAACTTTGGTTTCACGCCGTTCTATAATGACAGGAGGGTTATAGCACTGATGACACTACAGCCAAACTCTCAATAGTAATTAAGCTTAATGCAGCTGTGAGGTTCTTTTAGGGGGTTATAGATGTCTAGATTCGAGCGTATCCTTCTGTTTATTTATATTCAAATATCGATTATATTAATTGTAATATTAAAATGATTAATTCTATAAATGTTGCATTCTTTTTAAAAAATAGAAAAATGAATTGTTTTTAAAATTTTAAATTATTTCTACAATTTATTACATATATTTTAAATTATAAATATGTTAAATTATAATATTTTCTGTAATGATGTGAATTTTGAGAATTTAAATCGAAATTAAATGCGATTGGAATAAAATTAGTCACGTGTTTCAATATTACACGACGATTGGTTTATTCAAATTTAAAAAATACAGTTAAATTTATACGAATAAACTTTGATTGGAGAAACTATTACGTAATGAGATATTAAATAGGTGATTGGATCATTCAAATTTTTAAAAATAATCGTATTCAATATTTTAATACATTTTTTTTTAATATATAAATTTTATTTTAAATTTACTTAAAATTTGAGTTAATTAATATCATAATTGGATAAATAAGGATGAAATTAAATTAATATTAATTTTCAAAACTAATTATCCATTTAATTACTAATTTAGTAATAATTATTAAAATTAATCAGTGGCTCCATCTAGTGTTATAAAACTGAAATATTTTATAAATTATAAACAGTTGTCATTGAAAGTCAGAAAGAATTTCATTTTAACTTTTGATTATTTTTTGACAAATGAGGTTAACTGGAGATCCAGTCACCACTTGACCTCTATCTTCCTGTTTGACAATGTCAGAGAATGTAGTTTGCAGATGACAAGTTAACGGAACATCCTATTATCAGTAACGTGTTAAACTTGCATTCAGAGATATACAACGCACCACTTCTTTGACCAGCATGAGGTCCATCTTACATACTTCATACGTGTTGACAGAGTCAAATCTAGTTTGACTACAGTTGTATATAGAATGGGATTATCACAAAAAAAAAATTCAATTTTTGATTATTTCGTTTTATTTTTATTTTTATTTTTTTATTTTTTTGCATTTAACTTTAAATATAATATATATAAAATGTTATTATTCCATGGTTTATGTTATACTACAAACGAATTACATAAAAAATATGAATTGAAACGTCTATATTTAAAGTTTAGGGCATATGAATGGTATATAGTCGCCATTTTAAAAATTTGAAATTTAAAATTCCGAACTGACAAATCATCGCTATTTAAACGATTTACGTCATTAACTTTAACCAATTATATCGAATCATATCAAAATTGTCGATTCTGTAGAAGAACAATGCATTTTTCTTTTCGGAACTCTTACTTATGGTAG